ATATAAATTAAATGTATATATTTTATTGCCTAGGCCAAATTGTTTATAAAAATATAGAAGATGTACAGACACGACATATACAACCACTAACAACATACAATACAAGAGAAAAAAAAAAAAAAAAAAAAAAAAGTACTTATAAATGTGTAAAGAACTGACACACAAATAAAAGTAAGCAAAAACAAACATAAAAATATTATAAATTATCATAGATAAAGTAAATATATACAGAGGTAAGAGCTATAGATATAAAAATAGAATTAAGAAAAAGGAAAATGTAAAATGGATATAAAAATATAATAGGTAAAATAGATAGATATAAGTAGATAAAAAATTAATAACGTTGAATAATAACGCTTTAGCTGTTACAAATTAGATCATAAACATAAGTATATATCAACTAGAAACTAGAAATAGAATTAAGAAGATTAAAATGGAAAATGTAAGGTATAAATAGATAGATAGAATAACAAATATAACAACAAAAATGTAAAATTAAAGTATAGTAGTAAAACAAACCAAGTACTTAGAAACTGTAAGCCATTACAACCGCGAAATGGAATAAGTCCCACTCTACATAATAGTGTGGACTAGATAGATATAGATTAGTATGTACGACATCTAGATGTATAAGGTCCTGATGTAACCTTGATCGGGGAAAGGCGAATAAAAAAAAAAAAAAAAAAAACCTAACCTAACCTAACCTAACCTGACGGAGTGGTGCGCTCCAAGGCGCTCTACGGAGCGCCCATATGGGCGGAAGCCCTCAGCCCGGCGAATATCGCGCTGCGGGCTGCACGGGCGTACCACACCGTCTCCTACGAGGCGGCGTGTCTGATTGCGGGCAGCATCCCCTGGGATCTCGAGGCCGGCGTCCTCAAGAGAGTGTACGCCCAGGGCGCCGTGATGCGACGTGTTCTCGGAGGTCGGCCGGAGGAGATCGATCGCTGGAGACAGTCGGCTCGCGATGATCTCTTCCGGAAATGGGCCGAGAGGTTAGAGGCGACCCGTAGCGGGTCGGTGCTCGTGGGGGCCGTTCGGCCCGTCCTGCGTCAGTGGGTGGAGAGGGGTCATGGGGCTCCGACATACCACCTCACCCAACTCCTCACGGGTCATGGCTGCTTTTGCCAAGTACCTGTGGGAGGTGGTCGGGGTGGAGTCGGAGCCCCGGTGCCGCAACTGCACCAGCGGCGACCCTGACACGGCGTATCACACCATGGCCGTGTGTGAGGCGTGGGACGAACAAAGGACGGCCCTCACGAGCACCGTTGGTGCGGACCTGTCGCTGTCGGCCATAATTCCAGCTATGGCCGACAGCGAACAGTGTTGGGCTGCCGTCGCCTCGTTCGCTAGCGAGGTGATGGCGGCCAAGAGAGAGGCTCTGCGGGAGCGGGAGCGAGCTGGTCTCACACTCCCGCCCCGCAGACCCCCGGCGAGGGGACGCCGGCGAACACGATTCGCCCGCGTCCCCGAATGAGAGTGGCCACGGGCGGTGGGTCGGGGGACCCGCCGCCCCATACTAATGTGGCGGAATGCGCCCCTCTGTGTTCCTTGGGTGCATTCATGAGGAGGACAGGCCTCACCATCTGGGCACGGTATTTGCCCGGATGGTGGGGCCTCGAGAGAGTTGAGCCCGTTCAACAGGGCGTCCCTAGCCGAGTCGCGGTGAGCAAACTAGCCCGTGGCTCGGATTAGGCGAAGGAGGAACACCGTGGTGGTTTAGTGGGTAGTCTGGCCCGTCAGGAGTCCCACACGAAGCGAACCCCCTGCCCCCGCGGGGGGGGAGCGAAGTGCGTAAATGCATTCCACCACGTAAAAAAAAAAAAAAAAAAAAAAAAAACCTAACCTAACCTAACCTAACCTGGGGTGCGGGTCGGGTAACCTCCATGTTGGCTTCTTCGTTTCTTCCCCCGTTGGACTGCGGTCCTCGGGAGCGGAAGCGAGGGACTGGTGCACCCTGGACAACGGTTAATAGACACTGTCTCTGTCACAGAGCTCTGTATGTTAGCCGATTGACTGATAACCCGACAGCCCTTTTCAGGGCTAGCTGACCCCATTGCACGAGGGGGTCGTGGGATGGCGGGCCTACAAGGCCCGCGGGGGGGGGGGGAAATCCGTAGGGATACAACAGCCCTTTTCAGGGCTCGCCGTTCCTCACCGTATCCCTCTGCTTTTCAGTTGGGTACTGGGAGGAACGTTGTAATCCATTAGGGATTTAGCCCGACTCAGGGCTAGCTGACCCCATTGCACGAGGGGGTCGTGGGATGGCGGGCCTACAAGGCCTGCGGGGAGGGATCTGTAGGGATACAAAAGCCCTTTTCAGGGCTCGCCGTTCCTCCCAGTATCCCTCTGCTTTTCGGGGGGATACTGGGAGGAACGTTGTAATCCCTTAGGGATTTAGGGACGGGTCGACCCACTGCTCGCGCAGGGGTAGACAGGCACTCGTGCCACCGTCGGAGTTGGGAGAGTTGGCTTCCCTCCTGCGTCGCGTAATCTCCGGGTGATCGACATACAAACCTGAGTGCTAGCCACACTCAGGAACGCCGTGACCTCGGAGGACGTGGGGCTTGCCTTCATTGGCCGGCCTGCGTCAAGGAAAAGACTATAACACCCGACAGCTAAGTCGCTTAAAACCTATGGATACCGGGGGACCTCCATAGTATTTACCCCGCTTCCCGGAATGAGCGTCACCCGGGAAGTGTATTATTTTCGTCTCATTCTCGTAGGACTCTTATGGATATTTCGAATAATAAATTAAAAACATCTGACGTAGAAGGAGTGGAGAAGGAAATGGAGACGGAGACCGCAGGGCAACCTGGAGGTTCGCGCTCGTCTTCCCCAGCAAGGGGAAGATTCTGGCGCAAGCGAACCAACTCTGCTACAGAGTTGGATTCGCCGAGCGAGGGCGATTCGCGAAGCGAAAGCCCAAAGCGCAGTCGTGGCCGTCCCCCGAAAACGGGGGAATACGTCAATTTGGCGAGGGCCAAGGCCGAGCTGAACGCGGCCAAGGAGCGGGAGCTCGAGCTCCGCGCTGAAGGGCCAATACGTGCGGGACCTCAAGAACGCGTGCAACTCCATCTTGGAGAACGTGCGCGCGCTCATGTCCCGCACGGAATCGGAGGAGGTGGCCCAGCTGCAGGCCGAGCACGATTCGCCCGCGTCCCCGTATGAGAGTGGCCACGGGCGGTGGGTCGGGGGACCTGCCGCCCCATACTAATGTGGCGGAATGGGCCCCTCTGTGTTCCTGGGGTGCATTCATGGGGAGGACAGGCCCCACCGTCTGGGCACGGTATTTGCCCGGATGGTGGGGACTCGAGAGAGGCGAGCCCGTTCAACAGGGCGTCCCTAGCCGAATCGCGGTGAGCAAACTATCACGTGGCTCGGATTAGGCGAAGGAGGAACACCGTGGTGGTTTAGTGGGTAGTCTGGCCCGTCAGGAGTCCCACACGAAGCGAACCCCCAGCCCCCGCGGGGCGGGAGCGAAGTGCGTAAATGCATTCCACCACGTAAAAAAAAAAAAACCTGAACTAACCTAACCTAACAACATCTGACACACTTGAGTATTTCTACGTAATTGTTTTTTGTTTACATTTTGAAAATCCTTAGACGCATCCCCCACCGCTGAAAATGGAAATATCAAAAAACTTGTATTCATAATTTAATTTAAACTTTCAAATGCATTAGGTCCCCATGACACATCATTCTTAAAATAAATATGTTTGTATTGCTTCTAGTCACTGGTCGTTGATACCGGACTAGAAAGGGCAAGTCAAAACTGGACTTGCCCTTTCTAGTCCGGTATCAACGACCAGTGACTAGAAGCAATACAATCATATTTATTTTAAGAAGGCTTGCCGACTAATTAGGTACACACTATACCTAAAGAAAAAACAAAGACTTGATAAAACATTTAATAGAATCCTCAAAGATTCATAATCGTTGAGCACGCGCTCAACTACGTTACAATGGCGCACAACACGAAACGCGCGTGTTGGAATGCGCTAGTTTTTTTTTAACATTTTTGGGATGCTTTCTTAAAGACTACGTCGCACTATAACTGCTTACACAATATTATAAATATACAGCTTCAGTTCAGCATACAATCCATATTTCGATAGCCTTGGTCGTTGTTTATAATATAAAACTCGAGATCAACAGAAAATAAAAGTGTCACGCAATTGTGAATAATTACCATATTTTAAGCGTGACGTTAGTATTCTGGTCTTGTCATGTTTATGAATTTCAGACTAAATTCAGAAGCAGCCAATCTGGAGTCATCATGAAGAAACACAAGTATCACAATAAGTAACAAATATCTTACTCAAATAGTCAAGTTGTTACACAAATATACAAGGTGTATAAAGGTGCCATAGTTGAGGGTCGTGTAGTAGACTCGAGAGTAACTAACTAGTAAAATATACCTACAGAGCAAAGTTCCGAGACTAACGTGAATAAAACTATAGTTATTTAAGAACAAGAACGTTGTAAGAAAGTACACACTTTCTCTTTCTTTAGCAAATAATTGTCGGCTACGCATAGAGAAACTTAAATATGACCGTGTTACGTTGGTTACAAATTCTCTATCACATGTTACATGTTCAACTTACAGCTACAACCTTTGAGAAGGGATAGGGATACTAAATAAACATAACAATAAATGTATAACTAGTACAAAAATAAATTAATTGAGTAATCCATACATTTAAATAGAATTTGAATTTCAAAATACTTTTCACAAGAATATCGTGTCGCGTTCCAATTTTGTTTCAGGGTAACCACATCACATCAGGGCTTAGGGTTATCAAATTGAAACATACCTCAAACTTGATGGGCATAACTCTGAAGCATCGTCTTGCAAATCAAATTAAATTCTAAGAAGAGTACGGACGTCAAGTGAGACAAACCAGATAGATTAGAATTGAGAGGTTTCCAAATTGATCACGAGTAGAAATTTGTGATATTTTGAGTGGTATACTCGTGGTAGTAGTACTCGTCAAGAATTATTTATTGAATAAAAAGGACAGTCTGTAAGATTTATGTTCATGAATGGTCTCTCTCGGCGAACCCGAATGGGCAATAGTTTTGCAGGGCCGCGAGCTTTTGTGGTCTACTTCGTCCGATGATGGTACATGTTTATGTCCCTTACACTTTGAAAGTCTTCTTAAACTGCCTTGCAACTGCTTGCCACGGCTTTTTAGGTTATTGTCTATTTCAGAGGACCTAGTTTGTATTCGAAGTTGGGCGAGGATCTCGCTTAGATTCCCTATCCAAGGAGGGTCATTAGTAATTTTTTTTGTAGCCCTGCCTTTTTTTGAGTTCTTGCCATGAGAATGCTCTCTTGCATGTTTACAGCCTCGATGCGCCCGCGCAGAACTCTCTTCTTCTTCTGTACCAATTTTACTTTCACGTTTCTCTATATCTTCTGTTGCTTTCAACGCTTTATTTTCTTCTGTTTGTTTATCTGACTCTATTTCTGTTTCTGATTTATCCGACTTATTTTCTTCTGTTGGTTCATCGAACTTAGGATCTGCTTTTGGTTTGTCCGATTCATTTTCTTTATTTGGTTCATCCGATTTAGTATCTGCTTTTTGCTTGTTCAATTTATTTACTTCTGTTGGTTTATCCAACTTAGTATCTACTTTTGCTTTGTCCGATTTATTTTCTTTTATTGGTTCATCCGACTTGGTATCTGTTTTTGGTTCGTCCGACTTATTTTTTTCTATTGGTTCATCCGACTTAGAGTCTGATTTTGGTTCGTCCGACTTATTTTTTTCCATTGGTTCATCCGACTTAGAGTCTGCTTTTGGTTGGTCCGACTTATTTTCTTCTGTTGGTTTATTCAAACTGGTATCTGCTTCTGGTTTGTCCGACTTATTTTCTTCTGTTGGTGCATCCGACTTACTGTGTGCTTTTGGTTTGTCTGATTTATTTTCTTCTGTTGGTTCATCCGAATTGGTATCTGTTATTGGTTCGTCCGACTTATTTTCTTCTATTGGTTCATCCGACTTAGAATCTGCTTTTGGTTTGTCCGACTTATTTTCTTCTATTGGTTCATCCGACTTAGAGTCTGCTTTTGGTTGGTCCGACTTATTTTCTTCTGTTGATTTATTCAAACTGGTATCTGCTTCTGGTTTGTAAGACTTATTTTCTTCTGTTGGTGCATCCGACTTAGTGTCTGCTTTTGGTTTGTCTGATTTATTTTCTTCTGTTGGTTCATCCGAATTGGTATCTGTTATTGGTTCGTCCGACTTATTTTCTTCTATTGGTTCATCCGACTTAGAATCTGCTTTTGGTTTGTCCGACTTATTTTCTTCTATTGGTTCATCCGACTTAGAGTCTGCTTTTGGTTTGTCCGACTTATTTTCTTCTGTTGGTTTATTCAAACTGGTATCTGCTTCTGGTTTATCCGATTTATTTTCTTTTGTTGGTTCTTCCGACTTACTGTGTGCTTTTGGTTTGTCTGATTTATTTTCTTCTGTTGGTTCATCCGAATTGGTATCTGTTATTGGTTCGTCCGACTTATTTTCTTCTATTGGTTCATCCGACTTAGAGTCTGCTTTTGGTTTGTCTGATTTATTTTCTTCTGTTGGTTCATCCGAATTGGTATCTGTTATTGGTTCGTCCGACTTATTTTCTTCTATTGGTTCATCCGACTTAGAATCTGCTTTTGGTTTGTCCGACTTATTTTCTTCTATTGGTTCATCCGACTTAGAGTCTGCTTTTGGTTTGTCCGACTTATTTTCTTCTGTTGGTTTATTCAAACTGGTATCTGCTTCTGGTTTATCCGATTTATTTTCTTTTGTTGGTTCTTCCGACTTAGTATCTGATTTTGGTTTGTCTGACATATTTTCTTCTGCTGTTTCATTTAAATTAGTATCTGCTTCTGGTGTGTCCAACTTATTTTCTTCTGTTGGTTTATCCGACTTAGAGGGTGCTTTTTTTGGGTCCGATTTATTTTCTTCTGTTAGTTCATCCGACTTGGTATCTGCTGTTGGTTTGTCTGATTTATTTTCTTCTGTTGGTTCATCCGAATTGGTATCTGTTATTGGTTCGTCCGACTTATTTTCTTCTATTGGTTCATCCGACTTAGAATCTGCTTTTGGTTTGTCCGACTTATTTTCTTCTATTGGTTCATCCGACTTAGAGTCTGCTTTTGGTTTGTCCGACTTATTTTCTTCTGTTGATTTATTCAAACTGGTATCTGCTTCTGGTTTGTAAGACTTATTTTCTTCTGTTGGTGCATCCGACTTAGTGTCTGCTTTTGGTTTGTCTGATTTATTTTCTTCTGTTGGTTCATCCGAATTGGTATCTGTTATTGGTTCGTCCGACTTATTTTCTTCTATTGGTTCATCCGACTTAGAATCTGCTTTTGGTTTGTCCGACTTATTTTCTTCTGTTTGTTCATCTAACTTGGTGTCTGCATTTGGTTTGTCCGGTTTATTTTCTATTGTTGTTTCATTCGACTTGGTATCTGCTTTTGATCTGTCCGATTTATTTTCTTCTATTGGTTTATCCGACTTAGTATCTATTTCTGGTTTGTCCAACTTATTTTCTTCTATTGGTTCATCCGACTTAGAGTCTGCTTTTGGTTTGTCCGACCTATTTTCATCTGTTTGTTCAATCGAATTAGTATCTGCTTCTGGTTTTTCCGACTTATTTTCTTTTGTTGGTTCATACGACTTAGTGTGTGCTTTTGGTTTGCCCAAATTATTATCTTCTGTTTGTTCATCCAACGTAATGTCTGCTTTTGGTTTGTCCGACATATTTGCTTCTGTTGGTTCATCCAACCTACTATCTTCTTGTGATTCGTCTGACTCATTTTCTTCTGTTGGTTCATCCAATTGACTTTCTTCTTGTGGTTCATCTGATTTACTTTCTTCGGGTAGGGCGTCTGATTCACTTTCTTCCTTTGATTTACCTGAATTGCTTTCTTCTTGTAGTTTCCTTGTTTGGCTTACTTCCTTTGGTTCATTCGAATTTATTTCTTCTTGTGGTTTGCCTTTTTCTTTTGGTTTACTAGATTTGCTTACTTCCTTTGGTTCATCTGATTTTACTTCTTCTTTTGGTTCACCTGCTTTGCTTTCTTGTTTTGGTTTGTCTATTTTTCTTTCTTCTTGTGGTTTGTCTGAATTGTTTTCTTCAATTGCATCATCTGATCTATCTTCTCCTTCTGGTTTGTCTAAATTACTTTCTTTCTTTGTTAAATCAGATCTCCTGTCTTCTTCTGGTTTGTTTGATTGGCTATCTTCCTTAAGCATATGTGCTTTGAGTGTATTTTTTTTCTCTTCTATATCTTTTGCTGAGTTTTTCCTGCTAGCCTCTGTCGATCTTTCTTCTTTGTCATCACTCTCACTTTTTTTTGCCACTTCAAGATGGTTATTGTCAGCCTTTTCAGCTGTCTCTGTGTCATAAATTCCTCTCGAATCTTCGGAAAGTTTTGGTTTCTCAATTGTATGTGCTATATGATGGTATTCATACTCCTCTTTATAATGTCTATGGTTGTGGTGGCTATTGAGGTGTACATCGTCGTACTGATACTTAGTGTGTTGCTTATGGTTTTTTGTGGTGTGTTCGTGTTTGTGTTGGGTAAATGGTTCATCACGCTTCGATTCAGTAGATTTAGACTGACTTTCTGTAGTTAGTAGGGGGGTGGTGATTTCGGTGGTTGTTTGTTTTTTTTCTGTGCTTTTTAATTCTTCTTGCTTAAGCTCTAAGCTATAATAACGGTCATTAGTCTCAGCATCCGGTTGGCTTTTGATATCATCACTTTCACCACTTTTAATGGAAGTAGATTCATCCCACGACGATTTGCTTGCATTGGAACTGTCACTAGAAGACCCTTGATCGTTACTTGCAGAAGTGTTATCTACAGTTCGATTTTCCAAAGACTGGGATAGTTCTGATGCACCACTGTCTCCTGCTGATTTTGAATTCTCACTTGAAGGGGGATCGCTTGCGGATTTACTATTCTCATCTTCATTACTATCATGTAGATGGGACATGTGATCTGGTTCAGACTTGTGTTTTCGTTTGAAATCTGAATTGTCGCTGCTTTCATCACTATTTTGGTCATTCTCCTCTGTTTGGCCTCTCGATTTATTAGTGGGTACTGTCTGCTCTTCCGATGAATCTTGTTCCTCTGGACTGTTTGAGTTGTCAATTTCTTCTGTTGTAACTTCTTCACTAGGATTTGTTTTTCTCTGTTTCTTTAGTGTTTTTTTTCGTGTATGATGGCCATTGTAGTCATTGGGCCCATGCTCTGAACGATGTTTATCCGGATGTTTGACGTAAGGTCGTCTCAGGTCACTCTTGGCGGGTGCTAGAATATAAGCTAAAGGCTTTCCATCCCGCCCCTTTCTGTGTAGCGGTGTGATTTCAACAACATGTTTTTTGCGTGGGTTGCGGTGGGCAGAGGTGCGGAAAGGTAGAACTTGGATTACTTTTTTCTTATGTCCAGGACGATGTTCGTTAGAGAGCCCTCGTTCGATGAGTGGAACTAGGAGCCCGGCAATATTTTGTCGTTGTGAGACGAGATCGGAGTTTATAACTTCTTGTGATTCCGGAGACTCAGGATACTCCAGGGATTCCACGGTTTCCTGGGATTCCCACGACTCAGACGCTGATTCAGAGGAATGCGATTTAGAGTGCGAAGGTGCGGCGCGGGCGTCAACCGAGCGACTCCATAGTATCGCCGGTTGCAGCGCAACCAGACACAAAGCTATAAAAATACAAATTTACACAGACTGAGTATTATTTTACTAACGAGTTTTCTTTTAAGGGGAAATGTAGAGGTAGCTACTCATGGGGTAGTGGCGCTGTGCACTTATTTCAAGCAGTACTTGTAGTTCAAACAAGTCCAAGGTTAGTTTATCCAAACTGTAGTTGGTTCAAATTCATTATAAATAATATTTGAAGCAGAACAATTATAATAAACTGAGTGTCTGTGTACTTGTTAAATGTTTTAGGCCCAAATTTTTGTAACACATAACACATTTCTATATCGCATGTGTCTGTGTCCACTGCAATCAGGATAAAAGCTCAAGACTATTAATTAAAATTTCATACACTCTACAGTAAAATTTAACTTTAGCGTCCCTAGACGCTAGGACCAGGCTATTACCTACTGAATTATTTCTTTCCTTTTAGTCTTATCCACATCATCATCATCATCGGCACATCATAATAGCCATTTTTTATAAAAGATTTAAAAGACATATTAACAATTAACAAACAAACGTGACAAAGTTGGACTTAGTGCCATACAAACCCATATCTATGGATAGGTCTTCAAAAATGATATTGAGGGTTCTAATATCATTTTTTCTAAACTTAAAGTTTGCGCGAGAGACACTTCGAAAGTGGTAAAATATGCCCCCCCCCCCCCCCCCCCCGTAACAAGAGAGTGATAAAACTAAAAAAACATATGATGTACATCATTACCATGCAAACTTCCACCGAAAATTGATTTGAACGAGATCTAGTAAGTAGTTTTCTTTTAATACGTCATAAATCGTAAACCGCAATTTAAATTTCATTCAATCAACTCAAATATTAAAAAAAAAATCATAAACATATACTTTATGCATAAACCGTGAATCACTATTTTCTAATAATAAATCTGTAATAGGTGCCTAAGTAATTAATAGTAATAATTCGCGCGGGCGTGGCTTGATCAGTAGCGGATGCGGAACGCGCAGGGGGAGACTCGTCCTTGATTCAGGAGTGCTTTCCTGGTATTAGCAGAAACCTCAAGTTGAGAGATTTCTCTTGCCTCAAAGGGAAGGACTCTCGAGTAGAGTTAGGGAACTTATCAACAAGATTTTGCTCATATAAGCATTTGAAGACCTCTTTTTCAGCAAGGTCTACTGGCACTCCAATAATATTGATCCTAGGACGACGTTTTGTGAGCTCTTCAGCGGTAACGATGCAAGTTTCTCAATGTCTGCTCTGGTCCCTATACTAATGAGAACACCTCCATTTCATACTTTCTTCACGCCACGAGCATGCATTATTGTTCAAGCAGCATAATTGTTCGAGTGAGATATTTTTTTGGACCAGAGATTTAGTTAGATTTAGTTAGATAGATTTAGTTTTATCATTTGGATATATCGCCAGAGAGCTTAAGTTACTTGGTCGGACAAACTTATCGGCACCCTTTTTGACCATGTCAGCAATAGAGCTGTTGATCAGAGTTCATTTTACCATCATCGACGAAGGCACAGACTTCCTTCAGTAAGGCCTCGCCATCTATCCCTGGATTTCTTTGTAGCCCTGGGTTAGACATACTGTCACCATTTCACTATTTACTTATATAATGTTATACCATATAACTGAGTTTATGCACAAAAGGTAAGCAGTATTTAATCGGGACACACTTCACGTAGATTGCTTAAGACACAAATTTCTATTATGTTAAAAATAATTTTCTAGTTTACATATTAACGTAAACAAAAACTCGTCTGCTTAGTCAAGCAACTGAGATGAATGTTTACGATTAAAGCGAAAAGTTTAAATTTTATATATTTTTTTATGACACAGGGGGCAAACGAGCGAGCGGATCACACCGATGGTATGCGACTACCATCACCCATGGACATTTGCATCTCAGGAGTCACGAGTGCGCTGCCAGCTCATTACGAGTACTTGAAGCCTTGAAGTACGTTTTGTAATTTACATGTTTATGTAAGATAATAATTCAGATGTAATTGTCAGTATTAGATGTTGACCGGTGATGTGTGAACTTTGATTTTTGATATCGATAATTTATATTACGGAAAACTGTTCATACATCTGGTGGGAACAGCGCTCGGTACCCAACGTAATCCTCTGCACTATCGCAAGTTATTCAAGTTCATCAACTCGTATTTATCAAGTAAACTTAGATTAGTGTCGAAAATATTTAGTAAGTGGATGTCATGTAACGGTACTCACCTAGCAGCAGGTTCATGAGTGGGAGGCGTGTGCGCACCTCCGCCCTCCGGCGCCCAGAGTATATACCCTCGACAGTCCACTCCCCTCACCCCGCAACTGCATTGTCGCTGTGACTGATGTCTGATGATAAGGGTCACCGCACACAAACACTTTTACTTCGAAACACACAGTTGTAGTTACGTGGCGTAGAAACGTATTTATTTTATGACTAGCTGACCCGCGCAACTTCGTCTGCGTCTCTCAATAGTAATAAATTTTCTCCGTTTTTGAAACATTCTTCATTGGTGCTCCGCTCCTATTGGTCTTAGCGTGATGATATATAGCCTATAGCCTTCCTCGATAAATGGGCTATCTAACACTGAAAGAATTTTTTAAATCGGACCAGTAGTTCCTGAGATTAGCGCGTTCAAACAAACAAACAAACAAACAAACTCTTCAGCTTTATAATATTAGTATAGATTGAGGGGTTAAACGAGCAGAGGGGTCACCTGACGGTAAGTGCACACCGCTGTCCATGGACTCTTGCAGCTCAAGAATCACAAGTGCACACTCTTTGAGTGACCCCCCAGAATTGCTCCCAGTTGGGTTGGTTATTACTATTATCTATAGTAATCTATACTAATATTATAAAGCTGAAGAGTTTGTTTGTTTGTTTGTTTGAACGCGCTAATCTCAGGAACTACTGGTCCGATTTAAAAAAAATCTTTCAGTGTTAGATAGCCCATTTATCGAGGAAGGCTATAGGCTATATGTCATCACGCTTAGACCAATAGGAGCGGAGCACCAATGAAGAATGTTTCAAAAACGGAGAAAATTTGTTACTATTGAGAGACGCAGACGAAGTTGCGCGGGTCAGCTAGTCTTCTATATCTTCTTAGAATAGAATAAAATAAAGTCGCTTTTTTGTGTTGTACGCTTAGATATATAGCTAGATAGATAGATAGATAATAGATAATAGATTTAGCTGGAGACCACACATAGAATTGGCATGTTCTAAGTAAGTTTTACATCCTCAAAAGAATATTAGACCGACGTGCTTTGTTTATGGTGTACTATGCACTAGCGGATTCAATTATTAGTTATGGGCTAAGCTGTTACGGACTAACATTTAAAACGTATATAGAGGAAATTAAAAAGATACAGTTAAGATTTTTAAAAATAATAGTAGATAAAAGAATAAGGAAAAAGCACAAAGATGACTATAATAAGTTATTTTCCGAATGTGCCATCATGCCAGTCAATGAAAAAGTTAAATATTTAATAGCATTAGAATCATATCATAGTGAAGAATATAAGATAAAGAAAAAATATCATTACAGTGTCAGAGTAATAAAGAAGGGAAAATTAGAGCAGTTTAAAGTAAATAATTATTATGGGGAAAGGACCAGGAAGTATGTAGTACCAAAGTTATGTAATAAATATCAAATACTAAGGGAGGACAAGAAAATAAAATGTAAGTTTAAACTAAAACTAAGACTAAAAGAAATATTTGGATATGGCCATAGATTAAAACGCGTTCATAAATAGGGAAGCACACATATTTATGTGTTGTTTGTCTTGAAATTATTTTTAACCGACTTCAAAAAAAGGAGGAGGTTCTCAATTCGACTGTATTTTTTTTTTTTTTTTTTTTGTATATTTGTTACGCGATTACTCCGGCAATTATAAACCGATTTGAATAATTCTTTTTTTATTTGGTAGGTCATACGTCAGAGGTGGTCCCATTGTTACCAGGTCAGGATCTGATGATGGGATCCTGGGGAAATCGAGGGAAACCCTCAAATTTTGTAGGCATATACACTGTTTATCAGAAATTATCTTAATCTATGTAGATTTTTGCATCTAATGGTCACCATCTGATGTTGCTGAGCTGATGATGAAGCTGATGATGAATGGTTTAGGAGTATGGGATCTCTGTAACAAAATTATGTAATACCATCGAATTTGAATGTGTTTGAGTCTAATTAATAAGGGCTCCGATCCTATGTGATATTCAGGGTCTGATGATGGAGACGGTAAATAGCCATGGGAATTCTGTAATAAAATAAAGCAATTCCGCCGTGTTTGTGCTCATTTGATTCGTCTCGACTAGGAGCTTCATGCTAGTCGATTTTTAACCAACATCAAAAAAGGAGGGTTTTTGATTCGACAGTATGTTTTCTTTTTAACCGACTTCCAAAACACAAAAGAAGTATGTTTGTTCCGCGATTTCTCCGTCAATTGTGGACCGATTTTCAAAATTCTTTTTGTAATCGAAAGGGTATGCTCCCGAATTGGTCCCATTACCACCAATTCAGGATCTGATGATGGAATCCTAGAGAAATCGAGGGAAACCCCACAATTATTGGGAATTTGACAGCCCCGACAACGTGTTTTAGCTACGAGTATTTCTTTAGCCAAACAAACCATGGCAAACGTCAGAGACTGCGCGATGTGATGCTCAGAGAACTTGCAGTATTTATGTCCCCATAGTAATTAAGAAGAAAAGGTTGAAATTTTGTATTCTGTCTTGTTAAAATAATTCGGATAGACGTTTAGTTGCTATGGATGGCATCGCATTTCGTTTGTAAGTAATTTTATACTTAATTTATTAAAATAGTTCTGGAAAAAACTCTTAAATTTTGTGTGGGTCAACTTTTTAAGGAGAGGCCTATGTCCAGCAGTAATTAAATATAATATTTAATATAATCTAACAAACTACAGTTTGTTACTATACATTACGGTACGTAGTGTTTTAAATATCGTACTTATCTACTCATTACAAACATATCCTACACTAAAAATGGTAAAATAAACCCTTTTAAAAAAAAAGTTGAACCGACTTCAAACAACACCGACAAAGAGCACTAAAAATTAAAAAATAATTACAAATCTAAGTAAAAAACTATAATAAGTACCCTCAATGTAACAGGTAACATTATAATACCAATAGTCCCTTCTAGTCTGTTTGAAGTCGGTGCCAAGCTCGATGCACAATAAGTAAGACTGGTCTATGTCAGTTTTATATTAGCACAATGAAAAATTAAGCATTCAAAATAATTCTAATGAAACATCGAAGATTTTGTTAATTAATAAAGACCAACCAGATAAATTACGTGCGCAAATTTATCAACTACTTATTAAAGCATTCAAAATAATAATATAATTGGAGATGTGCGTCCACTTTAGCTCGTTCAACATGTTTTGCGCAGCATGAAGACTGTTGCAGCTGCCGCGCTACATTCTACCATGCCTATCAAGCACCTATTTGGCTTGGCACCGACTGCAAACAGACTAGAAGGGACTATTGGTATTATAATGTTACCTGTTACATTGAGGGTACTTATTATAGTTTTTTACTTAGATTTGTAATTATTTTTTAATTTTTAGTGCTCTTTGTCGGTGTTGTTTGAAGTCGGTTCAACTTTTTTTTTAAAAGGGTTTATTTTATTCTCTTTTAAATATTACAAAAAAATATGTCTTATTTACGAAGTTATTTTAAACAATACATTATTATTCTTTATTTAATTAAATACGTTACGTACGGCGGGATAGGAGCGGGCCTATAAATATTGCAATTTAAGATGTCCTGTAGTATATAGTTCTATCATATTAATAGTATAATTAATTACTCCACACTAACACCACATTAGTAGTATTAGTAATTTCTACATTGCACCCGTTAATAAATAATTAGCATACAGGCTAAGGCATTTTAACAAACTGTTAAGGAATTTTATTGTATACTGTAAAATATTCTTTAATTAAATATTGGAGCTGTCTTGGCCACCAAATTATTATAGAAAATGCGGATGAAATAATAAAATAAAGTGTTGTGTTGGTGAGGCGTAAATTTATATTTTAAAAAAATTAAAAAATGAGGCGGTTCTCAGGGTGTTTTATGTACTTTTACCTCAGCACTCCTTCACTTATGAAACCGATTTCATAGAAAAAATACCACCCTCAAAGGTGGATAAGAAATTGATTAAGAAACCAGTTGATAATAATTTATCACGATTTAGATTCACTGAAGTTGGTCACACTTTATTATTTATGTCTTACCCAATTATTGTAATCACAGGAATATTGAACGACGTGTCTTTGTAGCCGCTTTTCTTCTCAGGCGGACTACTCACCGGCTGACCCAGTGGAGAGATTCAAGAGATTACCTCAGGGCGCCTTGTATGAGAATAGAAGTGTGTGCGTGTGGGAAACCTATGGGACTCTTTAGAGGAAAACAACTTACACCTCAGTTATACATACATGTATATTTCAAAAAAAAGTAGATCAAATTTACAATAAGAAATTAAATAAATTAAACAGTGTGGGTACAAGAAAAAGAAAAAAAACCGCAGCGGAGCGCGTTAGAGCCGAGCTGATGGTGCTCGGTGCCTCCTCGTCGTCCCTCCAGGAGGTTACTTCCTCTTCCGCCCGAGTCGGCTATTTATATTAGATATGGATAAAAGTTTAACAATTTGCAATTATAAGTTTAAGTACGTAACTCTTGGGTACGGCTGTCCGCTTGCGTCGTGAGCCGCGCAATCACCAGCTTTGCCAGAGGGTACCGAGAAACTTGAGTCTGAACCAGAAGGTCACAAAAGAGCAAGCACGCCGTCTGAGACTGACCGTCTTGACCCCGAAATCTGGGAACCTACGAATGGATTAGCACTCATATAATTAATCAGGTTTCAGAAACAAATAGGTTTAAGAAGAATTTAGACAATACTTACCACTTTAGTGGGTAGATTTAAACAGACTACATATTACGAAATTCAAATTACACGACAATCAAAACACTATTTAAGGTTGAAAGACACGAGACAGCAGAGTGTCTCTCGTGGTAGAAAGCCGGACTTATATATCCTCGGTTCAGGAATCTTCCAGAAATTAACCCCTCTTCAACATTTTACTTTGACATTTAACATCAGTGAAAGAAAACAACGCTAACGAAATCAAAAGTAACTTGCTTTCCACCATAGCTGAACATACATCAATACCTATACAATTTGTAATGACAGATTACCAGAACAGATAAAA